GGTGCTTAGTTGCTGGCTGGGGCTAAACCACGACAAGGCCCTGTCACACACTGGTATGGTCAGCCCATCAGCAGAACCTGCCCTGCCTTGTCCTTTGCCCCAACCTGTCTTCAGAAGTATCCCCAAAAAGCCACTGCCAGGGTCCCAGAGAAAGCCCCAAAGCTTTCCAAACCATGTGGAGGGCTGAAAGCATTTTCAGATGTCTCCGCAAGGTAGATGCTGGCAAAAAGGCCTGTGCTCCAGAGCTGCAATTTGTCATTCCAGACAGCATAGAGCATGGTGATGGGCCACTTCCTTTCTTTTAGCAGCTGTTAAGGCTCTTGGCCACATCCAGCTGCCCTGCACCCTGACAGTATCAATTCCAGTGTTTGACAGCTAAATCTTTAACACCAGGTCCCTTTTGTGAATGGAAACTTTGCTAAGGAACACTGGCACAGAAGGGAACGTTGCCTTGTTGTGCATATGGGCTCCTCAAACAGCTCCCAGCTGAGCTGACATCCCACTTCAGCTTGGCAGGCATCACACTTGCCAATGAAAGAAACTCTTGTGGGAGCAGCAGGGCAGCATGTAGGGGAGGATAAGTCAGTCTGAGGTCTGGCTACAGCACAGCAGACTAGGATAATTGTCCTTTTGATGGCAGGATTTCCTCTTGCCTCCCTGCCACCTCTTTCACAGAAAGCTTGATCACTGCACAACCCCTCCTGAACAGGATGTTATATACTTCTGCCTCTACTCGTACAAGAAGTCTTGTCATGTAAAGCTTGTAAAGCACGTGGTGACATCTTCAATCCCCCCCCTTGCTTTTTTCCAGAGGATCCTGAATCTCCATGATTTCTTACACTTGTAAGGTAGACGGACAGTTGCCATGTGCCTCTAAAGTGCATCTGGCTACAGTGTGGGGCAGAGCGTGGAGGGACACTGTGCTGAAGGGAATGACAAACTCTCTCACAGAGCCACGCCACACAACTCACCTGGTGCCTCCAAAGAGAATGATTTTGTCCCCCACTCTGCAGCAGCACTGCCGGCGTCGAGGACATGGGCCTTTCCCCTTGGGCTCAATCTTCGTCCAAGAGAGAGAAACTAAGGGGTGGAAAAGAGTGCAGCAGCTTGTCACAAAAGCCTGGCCAAGACCCAGGTGTAAGCAGGTTACGGATTTAAACAGATCACAGCAAAACTGGAGGCCCACTGCCCCACAGACACCAACTAGCCAACATCCACCCTCTCTGTTGACCTCCTCTTCTTGCTAGCTGCAAAATGATGCACTTCGATGAGGTTGTTACTGAAGTGTCACTTAGATGCCAAGCACAGCCCTGGGGCTCTGCTTGCTGAGACAGGAGTTGCAGGTCGAGGCCTTTTGCTTGCAAAGCCTGAGAGCCAGGACCCACAGGCTGCCGCAACAGCAGGTCAGACATCAGAGGGAGCTGTACAGGGCAGAGCTCCGGGAGCAGGCAGGCAGGCAAGCTCCCTTCCCTGGCACCCTGCTGTGGTCCAGAGCTGGAGGAAGACCCGGGAACCGGCTCCATCTGCTGGCAGCCACTGTGAATGCAGAGCATCCTCGCAGTTGGGGCTGTGGGAGCGTGGGGAACGGAACCAGGCAGAGAAGGCAGCAGCCTTTGTCCTTGCTGCTCTCTGTGGCAAGGATGCTGGGGGGTGATTAATCACTAATGCACAGCACTGAAACCTTCAGGAGCTCTCACACTACCTCATAGATCAGCTCGGGGAACAGCAAGTTGGCTGCTCTAAGGTAACTTTACTATGCAAAGCAATTAGCAAACGGAATCAGTCTAATAGACTGTGAAAAGTGCCTGAGGACCCCAAAACAGCTCACAGTTGACTGATATTCAGGGTACCAGCTCAAGAACCACCCCTTCTGCTTCACAGTTTGACCTGGTATCAAGAGAGTGTGGTATGGTGATGGTATGGAAGCTGGTTTCCCCAGCTTCCCCATATCTGCTTTTCTGCCAACACTTCTGTATATTTAAGAACAAGTCAAAGTTTTGCCAGCCACCCTTTGATTAGCTGTGTCTTTCAGCAATACTTCTTTTTCCACTTTCTAACTGAGATTTGGAGACAGTCTGAGGAATAACAGGGGTCCCAAGCCCGATAGCAAGTTCCTATCAATGCTGTCAGAAGAGCCATTTCCCCCCAGGCAGGCTCCTAGCCCTTGGAGAGTACGCTCATCTGAGCACTCACACTCTTGAGGGCCTTGAGCACTATCACTGAAACAAGTCAAATGCATAAATACCTGGATTGAATTTCCAGAGGTCATGGAAGTGTCTGTTCAGGCGTGCGTTGTAGCCACCAAATACATATAGCTCCCCATTGTAGCTGACTGTGGGGAGTAAGCACAGACATCAGTGTGCCACCCAAGGTAGAGCCCAGCAGGTCCCTGTCCCAACATCAAACACAAAGCAAAGTGGCACTGGTTAACCACCTCCACTTACATCACCTTCATGCGCAGGGTTACACACAAGGCTTTTTAGTGGGCAGCAGCTTTCCACAGAAGCCAGGCTCTGTGCACCCCTTGCTAACCCACATCTCCACCCAGCAGACCAGACACTGCTTCTGAGGCAGGCAGGAATTTCCTTCCGCTGTCCTCCTCTTTCAGCAGACCCACACTCACATGCTGAATGGCTCCGCCGGCCTTCGGGGAGCACTGGACTTGGAGGGGAGTCCAGCCAGGAGTTTGTTTCTGTATCAAATACTTTGATGCGGTTACAGTAGATCTCATTGTTGGAGTGAAATGGCCCAAAACGATCAGCTCTGCCACCAAATACATACATCTTTGTTCCAATGATGGTAGCTGAATGGAAGTCTCTCCAGCGAGCTGGAGTACCCTGCAGGGACAGAGTAAAACAGAACAAGAGAAAGAATGCAGATTACCCAGGAAGATGACACATCTTGATGGGGAAGTTGAGGTGGCTGCCTTCTGGAGAACTTCCCCTCCTGCAGATCCCAGCCACACCAGACAGAAGCTGCAGGACAAGTGTGGGCAGCTATCCCAGAGAATAGCAGATATGAGACTTCCTCCACAAACCAGAGTGAAAAGCAGACACTAACCTTGGCAGAGATTAAAGTCCACATCATGTTTGTGGTGTCCAATTTATGGATATCGTTTGAAAAGCAGTCAGCCTGGAAGACAGCAGGGCAGCCTGGTCACAAAGGGACTGAGAAGCCTGGTCACATCTGGCCCCAGGAAGGACGCTGTCCCTGGAGCATCCCTTTGGAGTCAGTACTGCCTAAGAGACATGGTGCTTCCTCCAAAATGTCATGGTAGGCAGCACACTTATCACTTCGCAAGAGGGATGCAAAGCCTGTTTCTCCTCAAAGGTGTCCTGTCTCTTCCTGCAACTTTCCCATTTATTTGGTGTCCGTCCC